TCTCTCTGTGTGTGTGTGTGTGTCTCTCTCTGTGTGTGTGTGTGTGTCTCTCTCTGTGTGTGTGTGTGTGTCTCTCTCTCTCTCTCTGTGTGTGTGTCTCTCTCTGTGTCTCTCTCTCTGTGTCTTCACTGAGTTGGCTGCTCTGTACTGGGCAATGGGGACTCTATTACTACTGTGTTCTTGGACAGGGAAAAGAAATATTTCTTTGGGTTTGTGCTTGTGTTTGTTGTCTGCTGACTGTCTCTGGAAAGGATGATATTTGTTAAAATGTAGGCTCAGTCATGGTTGAAAAATCTAAGAATAACATCACACACAGTGTCCAGGCTCATCTTAGGAAGGTGTGTTGGCATGTGTCATGTCCCTTGCCTACTGCAAGGATCTTCGAATTCAATCCTGCTTCATTCCAAGCAGGAAAGGTAGGCACTTCTGTGTGTACCACCCTCATCCCGATCCTCTTTAAGCGCTCTCCCTATCTATGTGCATTATGAAAATGCACTGGAACCATTCTAGTTCGAAAAAGACTACGTAGCTTTGTGGGGACCAAATAATCTACTGTGTGATGCTTAATAATCTTTGTGTTCCTTTTGTCTCACAGTGAATTGCCCAGTCTGTGCAGTTGCCATACCTGAAAACAACATAAATAAGCACCTTGACAGCTGCTTAATAAGAGAAGAGAAGAAAGAAAGTCTTCAAAGGTACAGTGCACGGCTGCTCAGTGAATTACTGCTGGGAGATGGGCTATCTTGTCACACTATCCATGTTTTTCCTGTTAACCAATCATTTTTAATTCCTCAAAAGCAAAAGTCTTTTTAGATCAATAGCTTATCGCTCGTGCATTCCTTAGAGGGTAATGGACTGGGTGCCGTACATTGAGTCGAAGAATGTGGTACAGCTCATGATATTGTTGTACTTTTTCCACACAGCCTTTGAGGAGACAATGCTTTTTGTGCTTATCAAGATGAGGAATACTAACCATGGAGATAGGATTATTTTCTGTTCAGTGCACTTGTTGATATCAACCACGTTGAGTTCTGAAGTAGCTTGGGCTATCTAATATTGAAGCTGAGGAGGAACTTTACTCCATAGATAGTACCAGTGTACTGAATCGGATTGCAAATTAACACCAGAGATCAGACAGTTCTGTTTTCTTGGGAATCCTGTTAAACTTGTACAGATTGCAGATGATCTTTCAAATTTAGAAGAAGCTTTGCTCCCAGCAATATGGAGTAACTTGAAGCCTAGGTGAAAGGTAAAAAGGCAATAGTTGATACACCTTACCTCTTAGTTACCTTTTAGATATAAACATTGACAGGCTTGCAATAGAAGACTCCAACCACCAGATGGACTTCAGCCACCAGTTGGAGGCATACCTGGCACATAGGAAGATGATCGTGAATGTAGGAGGTCAGTCATCTTAGTTCCAGGAAGTCTCTGCAGAGTTACTTAGAGTTGTTTCCGAGGCCCAACCATCTTCAGCTGCTTCATCAATGACCTTCTCTCCACTATAAGGTCAGAATTAGGGACGTTCACCAATGATTGTACAATGTTCAGCACCTCCTCACATACCGAAGCAGTCCATGTCAAATGGAACAAGATCTGAACAGTGTCGAGGCTTGGTCTGACAAGTGGCAAGTAACATTCGCGTGATGCAAATGCCAGTCTATAAACATCAACAATAAGGGTCAATCTAACCACTGCCCCCTTGACATTTAATGGTGTTACCATCACTGAATCCCCCACTATCAATATCCTGGGCATTACCAGAAACTCAACTGGATTTGCCATATAAATTCAGTGGCTACATGAGCAGTTCAGAGGCTAGGAATACTGAGGTGACTAACTTACCTCCTGACTCCCCAAAGCCTGTCCGCCATCTACAAGGTGCAAGTCAGAAGTGTGATGGAATGCTCCCCACTTGCCTGGATGGGTGCAGCCCCAAAAGCACTCAACAACTCCAGAATAAAGCATCTTGCTTGGTTGGCACCACGACTCTCTCCATAACTGATGCTCAGTAGCAGCACTGCACATATTAACCATCAGCACCTTTTCAAAACCATGACCACTTCCAGCCGATACACCACAACCTGCAAAATTCCGCTCCAAGACACTCGCTATTCTAACAGTTGCTGGGCCAAAATCCTTGTATTCCCTCCATAACCGCCTTATGGGTCCATCTGCTGTCCACGGACTGCAGCAGTTCAAAAAGGTAGCTTGCCACCACCTTCTTAAGGGCAGCTAGGGACAGGCAATAAATGCTGGCCCAGCCAGCGATGCCTATGTCCCATGAGAGAATAAAACACAAAAGACTGGCTGTTGAACATAAGAGATTAAGGGACACATGTTAAGTCAGTGAACTGTGTTCAAAGTTTGTTTAAGGGTTTAATGAAGACACATAAATGAAACGAGCTAATACTGAGAGCCACAGAGATTTGCTGAAAAGAAACTAAATACAGCTGTACCCATTGATCAAAGAACTTTAAAGTGGAAACAGGGTAACCCATCTCTAAAGTGTGAGCATCTGTGATGTTGGTGTCGGGGGCAAATGTTGCATTGTTATTTTTGATATTTGTAACAAGGCTGTTTTGTCTAATCTTGTACAGTGTGAAATGGTTTGCTTTTTCCCCCTTTAATATAGAATAGTCTTTGTTCTTAAAAAATATACATTAGCAGCCTCATGTGAATATGTTCAGTGCTTGGACTACCAAAGGAGTTGCTGACTGAATCAAGACTGAAACAGCTCTTACTAAAGTTGTAAATGACATTACGTGTAACTATGAGAAACGTAAACTTTTCCTCCTTGTCTTTCTCGATTTGCAGGCATTGACATAATCGATGTTTCCAATACATTCCCACTGTTGTTCAGTTCGGTCAGAATGTAACCATTCTTATCTATCCAGTTGTAGCCAACACAACTGATTCTCTGGCTAATGTTGCTGCCCATATAACATTACCTCTAGTGACTTCCAAAGATCTATTCTTTACCTCCTCCACATCTTCTTTCTCATCTGCATGCTTCCTGCCCCTGTGTGATACTCAAAAAAAAACCCAGCGTCAATTAACCATACATACAGCTTTACTTGACACCAACTCTGATCATTCCTCCAGCTACCCGTTAGTTGTTGGACTTCCTGTCTGACATCAGGTACTGAAGGAGCAGAAATTTCCTCCAGCTAAACTGATCTTTTATCTTCTGATTACCAATGGACTGACTGTGTGTTTCCAGCAATTTTATATTTCTGTATTAAGGATAGTGATTTACAGAGGTTTTTGGGATTGGATGCAGTTTCCAGTGGTGTTCCACAGTGTTGGCTCTCCTCTTGTTTGTGGTATATGTTATTGATTTAGACTTAGATGTGGGCAGCATCATTGACAACACCCAAATTGGCCACGTGGTTTACAATGAAGAGATGGCTGTCCACTGCTGCTGATATCAGTGGCTTCGTTGTTCGGGTAGAAAAGTGGCAAATGGGATTCAATCTGGAGAATTGCAAGGACATGTATTTGGGGAGGACAAACAAAACTATGGAATGCACAAGAAAATGGGAGGATATAGAGAGGATTAAAGGGAGTGAGAGACCTGAAATGCATATCCACAGGCTCTGAAAGTGTCCAGACAGGCAGATAAGATGGTAACTAAGGCACATGGATATTTTCCTTCATTGTGCAAGATATGAAATACAAGAGCAGGATGTGACACTAGAAGTATATAAGACACTGGAGTTATGTGTACAATTCTGGTCACCACGTTTGAGGAAAGACCTAATTGCTCTTGAGATATTACAGAGGAGATTTACAAGACTGTTTCCAGGACTTGAATGTTGTAGCAATGAGAAAAGATTGGATAGGCTGGGGTTGTTTCCGTGAGAGCAGAGGAGGGTAAAGGATAACTTAATTGAGGTGTATGAAATAATGAGGGGCTTGGATAGAATGAACAGGGAAGGCCTATTTCCCCTTCGATTCCAAAGGAGCACGGATTTAAATTGATTTGTAGAAGGATTAGAGAGGACATGAGGGGAAAAAGATGTTGCATTAGAGGGTGAAGGTGTCTGGAATTTACTGTCCAGTTTTGTGGCTGAGGTCAAAACCTTCAACTCATTTAAAAGGGACCTGGATCTGCCCTAAAGATCTGTAACCTGCAAGGCTGCAGATCAGGTGCTGGGAAGTGGATTTAGAACGGGTGGCTAGTTTATTCAACCACCACAGACACTGGGCTAAATAGCCTCTTTTTGTGCCGTATGTTTTTTTGTGGTTCTATGAACAGACTTAGAAACATGGAAAAGCCATTATATCTGATGCACATCTTCCTTTCTCACAGACTTCAATCTGTTGTGTCTGCTCTGTCAATAGTTTCTTCAACTTTTACTTTACTGTGCAGGAATAGATCCCTGTGATTATGTGTGTAGTTTGTCATTGACTTCTTTTGTAACTTTACTGTTTGGGAGACATGGCTCCACCTGAGTTACCTGCATACTTTTATCCAACTTTTTTGTGGCATCTCAAAATGCTTTTTGAGATTACTTGGCCATTGATTTGCAAGAGAACTTCCTAACTCTTTTAGCTGCCAAACCGTTTCATGTGGAACTTGGTCATTTCTCCCACGCGGTCTCTTGGGGTCAGAAGCCAGACTTACCAGAACAAAAGCATGTGCAACAAAGCATCAGTAGATTTAAGTCCAGACAGGCATCACCTTCCACAGGCTGCCTAGCCTTGGTTGTTATCTCCAATGTCACAGACATGATCAAATTGTTTACTGAAGCTGTAAGTGTTTTCCTTTCCCGCAGCGCAGTGTTGTAATCTTTTAAGCTGTGTTCTTTACTATTGTGAATTCTGAAAGCCTGCTTCCAGCTGATTGCGAGTTTGGAGGCTTGTTATTTTTGTTAGTGCTGCTGAAATGGAAGGAGGCCTGATTATGATGGCAGAGTGGCCAGAAGGAATCAGAAAACCCAGTGGATTACATAAGGACTGTGAATTTGTTCCATTAGCTAAATCAAGTTTCACAGGGACTTGACACTTGGAAGAAGTAACAGGAATACAGAGTACTGGGCTAATGGTAAGATTCTTGGTAGTGTGGATGAGCAGAGAGATCTCGGTGTGCATGTGCATAGATCACTGACAGTTGCCACCCAGTTGATAGTGTTGTTAGGAAGGCGTACGGTATGTTAGGTTTTATTGGTAGAGGGATTGAGTTTCGGAGCCATGAGGTCATGTTGCAGCTGTACAAAACTCTGGTGCGGCTGCACTTGGAGTATTGCGTACAGTTCTGGTCGCCGCATTATAGGAAGGATGTGGAAGCATTGGAAAGGGTGCAGAGGAGATTTACCAGGATGTTGCCTGGTATGGAGGGAAGGTCTTATGAGGAAAGGCTGAGGGACTTGAGGCTGTTTTCATTAGAGAGAAGAAGGTTAAGAGGTGACTTGATAGAGACATACAAGATGATCAGAGGATTAGATAGAAGGACAGTGGGAGCCTGTTTCCTTGGATGGTGATGGCTAGCACGAGGGGACATAGCTTTAAATTGAAGGGTGATAGATATAGGACAGATGTCAGAGGTAGGTTCTTTACTCAGAGAGTAGTAAGGGCGTGGAATGCCCTGCCTGCAACAGTAGTAGACTCGCCAACTTTAAGGGCATTTAAATGGTCATTGGATAAACGTATGGATGATAATGGAAGAGTGTAGGTTAGATGGGCTTCAGAT